GCAAGCCCTAAGAAACTCCTTACTTCAGTCACACTTGTTGGTCTTGGCCAATCAGAAACAGCCCGGATTTTAGATGGGTCCACCTCAACTCCTTCCCTTGAGATCACATGGCCTAGAAATGCTACCTTCTCTAGCCAAAATTCACATTTTGAAAATTTGGCATACAACTTCTTTTCTCTAAGAATCTCCAACACTTTTCTTAGATGTCCTTTATGCTCTTCTCTATCCCTCGAGTACACTAAAATATCATCTATGAATACCACCACAAACTTATCCAGATATGGCTGAAAAGTTCTATTCATGAGGTCAATAAAAGCTGCCGGCGCATTAGTGAGTCCAAAAGGCATAACGGTGAACTCATAATGTCCGTATCTCGTGCGAAAGGCTGTCTTTGGTATATCTTCCTCAGCAATCCTCAACTGATGGTATCCCGTCCTCAAGTCAATCTTTGAAAAGATCCCCGCACCTTTAAGCTGATCAAATAAGTCCTCAATCCTGGGCAATGGATATTTGTTCCTTATAGTGACATTATTCAACTCTCGGTAATCAATACACAACCTTAAAGTTCCGTCCTTTTTCCTCACAAACAAAACCGGTGCTCCCCACGGTGAGACACTTGGCCTTATATAGCCCTTCTCCAACAACTCTTCTAATTGTACCTTCAGCTCTTTCATCTCTACTGGTGCCATTCTGTATGGTGCCTTAGAAATAGCTCCAGTCCCAGGCACTAAGTCTATTTTGAAATCCATCTCCCTAATTGGTGGCATCCCTGGGATTTCGTTTGGAAACACATCTTGAAACTCCCTCACCACTGGAATGTGATCTATGGACTTCTCTTCCACACTCACATCTTGCACATGACATAAATATATAGGGTAGCCCTTTCGGATATAAGAATGAAAAGTCATGGCAGACACAATATTAATCCCTGGTTTTGACACAACTCCCTGGTAAGAGATTCTATTCCCCCTTGGTCCCGTAAGAGACACCTTTTGGGTATGACACTCAATTCTAGCCTTGTACTCGCTAAGCCAATCCATTCCCAATATCACGTCAAATTCAGTTAAGTCAAACTGAATAAGGTTTGCAGGCAACTCAGTTTCAGCAATGTTAACTGGAATGCCTTGGTATAGGGACTTACAAGGAATTACCTCCCCAGACGGAATTGTTATGTTGGTTTGACACAAAGATGAAGGTTTTAAAGCATATTTATTCACAAAAGAAGTGGCTATAAAAGAGTGAGATGCCCCAGAATCAAAAAGTAAGTAAGCAGGTTTTGAGTTCACGAGAAAAGTACCCGTCACAACGTTAGCGTTGGAGTCAATCTCGCTCTGGTTCATGACATAGATTCTTCCATTACTGGTCCTACCATTGCCATTGTGGTTGCTTCCTCCGCCATTGTTGTTGTTCTGTCCATTCCCTCCTTGAGCATTGCCATTTTGGCCCTGAGAATTGTTGTTACTGAAGCGGTTGTTGTAGTTCGAGTTCCTCCAATAACCACCTCCATTGTTGCCATTGTTGTTACCTTGCCTCTGAGCTTGATTATTGCCATTCTGCTTCTTTGGACACTCAAATTTCTTGTGACCAACCTCCCCACATTCAAAGCAAGTAAGCAAATCTCCATTGCAGTTGCGTCCTGGATGACTCTTGTCACATTTACGACATGGTCGGTTGCGAGATCCTTGCTGATTCTGTTGTCCTTGGCCCCGGTGGTTATTGCTTCGATTGTTGTTGTCACGACCTCCCTGCTGACCATTTCCATCGTTCCCATTGCTATTACCCCCGAGTCGTGGTCTTTTATCATACCCTTGATGGTTCGATGAGCTCTCACCATTCCCCTTCCTCTTGTGCCTATCCTTGACCTCCTGCTCTCGCTTCAAAATCCTTTCGATATTGCAAGCTCTATTGTAGGCCTCCTTATATGTAGCAGCAGTACCAGCCCCAATCACCTTCTTTTGGATCCTAAAAGTCAATCCATCTTCAAACTTCTGAGCCTTGGATCTCTCATCAGGCACTACATTAGGACAAAACCTAGCATACTCATTGAATTTCTCAGCATACTCCTGCACACTCATACCAACAGTTTGGTTAAACCTACTGAACTCGCTGTACTTCTGTCTCCTACTATGTTCAGGGAAGAAACGATCCCTGATTGCTTTCTTAAAAGCCTCCCAATTAAAATTTTGTTGAGCTCTTATGGTGGCTCCTTCATTTTCCCACCAAATATCAGCAGCCTCACGTAAATAGAATGTGGCTTGGTCCACCTTCTGAGCGTCAGGGGTACCGGCAGCAGTAAAAATCTTGTCAAAATCACGTACCCAGTTCTCAACCAACATGGGATCTTCCTTCCCCATAAATAGTGGAGGTTCCAATGCAGCAAGTTTCTTAGCCATAGCAGCTTGAGGGTCGTTGTCATTGTTGTTGTGGTTGTTGTTGTTCAGCTGGTTTTGCAACAACATTCCAAGGTTCTGGTTCATTTGCTCAAGAGCTCTCAACCTTGCAGCAAGTTGTTCGGGAGTCTCGGCCATTTGTGCAGTTCTTCTCGAACGAGACCTAGTGTAAACGTTGTAATTTTGCATACATAATCTGCACAATTTCAACACTGGTGTTACCACCATACACATTTTAACACGATTTATTTAGATCGTGTGAATTGCAATTAAATTAACAACCACATTCTTTTATGTAACACATCATTAGTACATATATACAAGAATTAAGCATTTATTAAATCTCGATAACATTCATAGAGTCGGCCAATTTCCAAAACAAATAATGCATCAACTTAGCATTAAACTATAGGTTCGCGCATTGCTCTTGTGATCCTACTATACTCAACCCCGTCATTACTATACTTGACTAAAGTAAGCACAAGAAAATAGGGGTTTTGTTTTATACAAATGCAATAAAAATGAAATTATTACTACTTTATTAAGTTAATTAATAATCATAAAATAAAATATCATAAATATGCTTATCGAAAATATTTTAATTGCAAAAATCAAGACAAAATGAAAATCATCTTTAAAGTAGCACACTAGCTAGTGTTAATTATTTCGATAAACTACTAGTTGCAAATAAACGAAAACTACATTATAGTTTCTAATCATAATAACTAGCTTTATTTGTAAAGGTATTATAAAATTATTAGATAAATGCAACTAAAAATTTTCAATCATCATTTTCCCCTTGACTCTCACGAGCTTCATTTTCCTGAGGCTCCTCCTCCCCATCATCATCCAAGTTATAGTCATATTCCCGCTTAGCTTCCATCATTGCTCTCTCCAGGTATTCCATAGTAAGGATCCATCTTCCATTATAATAATATTTATCATTTGGTTGACCTTCAATATATAAATCAGCATACTTCTTCTTAAGTTGAGAATAGGGTCCCCTCACACATAGTGTGTGTAAAAGAATTTGAGATCGTCTCTCCGGAGTGAGGTAATCGGATTGGCCCTCAAGTACATTGTAATGAAAATGTTCAATGCAAAGATTCAAACGGTAGACATAATGTCGAATGTCTTTATTATACTTCATACGGATCACATAGGGAGAATCGGGTAATACCATTGTACTCTTCCTAGCACTGGACTTTCTTGCCGTTCTACGTTCTCGTACCATCGTCTAAGAAAATAAATAACCACATCATAATTAATTAAATAAGTACTGTAAAACACATAGATCCCTTATCGTGATTCCCACACTCACAACTTTCCTAAGCTTAAATCAATTTACAAAACTTATGTACAAGTTTTAATCCTAAGTCTTTACTTTAATTCATTTTAGTCCCTAAATTTTGAAAAACCTGGCTCTGATACCAATTTGTAACACCCCCAAAATTCGGGTCATTGTAAACAATAAGAGTAACCCTTTTCTTTCAAAACCGACCATCGAACCTTGGGAGTGTTACTGCTACACTTATTTTCCATAGAAAATAAATGCAAAGCAAAACGAAATACCATTTATAACTAAGTGATCTAAGTGGCGACAAGAATAAAATAGTCGTTACATCCAAACTGTAAAACATTTAAAACATTAAATAAAAGAAAAATAACTAAGTTCAGAATTAACTAAATTGTCTTAGCTACGTGATTATTCTAACGTCTCCTCACACGTAACCGAGTGCCCTTTTACCAACCTGCAAAATGAATCAGAAACAAGAAAAGAGAGGAAACTCCCAAAATCAGATAAACTGAGTAATTCCAACTCCATCCCGTAAAATAATAATTTTGGTTCGAAAAATATTTATACAAGACAATTTTATCGACATTATAATAAGTCAAAATCAAGTTGTCACATAAACATTATTACTTTAGTTAAGAAAGGGAAAGAGAACGCCAGTAAGCCGGGACTAGTCCCTGTCACCACCTACTTTACAGAGGGTCGCGCGTAACCCTAAATGGCCATAAATTAAACAGAATGTCCCTAGTGTGCACACCCCTCACTAATACCCATTGATTAGGAGGAAGACTAAACAGCAATATACGTCAATTTAAACCAATTAGTAGCAACCATAACCACTAGTGGGCAACCTGTTCTTCACCCTTTCAGGTTTCATTTCCCTTCTTAATTTAATGTATATATTAATAGATTAAATCGTCCGATCGCATTGCACACGAGTATTGCACAAAATCAATTTAATCCCAAGTAACAATATTTTAACTTCAGTATTTTTAAAACATAGTCAAGACATGCTAGTTACAACTCATTTTCCCAATAGGCCTTGGAGACCATCAATCACATATAATCAATCATCCAATTCCCACGATTTTAATTATATATAAAAAAAAAACTCATACGATTCCAAATAATCAAATTTTCGAAAATACCATACTAGTACACAATTATAGAAAAACTAGTATATAATATAATTCCATAACATCATATGATAACACATCCACCACGTATAATTACGTAAGCACATAGTTGGCACACAATAATTTAAAACAATTTCCTAACGGGATTCTAAAGATGATGGACATTGAAAATTACCTTGAGTTGCGCGTGAATCTCAAGGTAAGTAACCTCCGAAACGTTCACCTAGTAGCCTCCGTCTACAAATAAATAGATAAACGAGGTCTAAGTTAGTAATACTATACACCACTTGCTATTAGATTAGCAATCTGAAAAGAAAAAAAATATACTCGAAGTGTAATCATACGAAGTACTAAGGTTTGGTAAAGTTCGGTTTTATAAAAACAAAAGAAATCCCTAAACCAAAATCGTGACTATATATATTACGAGTAAACAATCTTACTCCTCCCATCATACTGACAAACCCATAAAGCTATTCCTTTCTTCCGATTTTTTTTTTTAAAAAAAACAAAATTCTTATGAAAACTACTGTAAGTACAAATATATACACTAATTGTATAAAATAAGGAAGCAAAGTCCAATTCGTTTTTCTTTTTAAAAGAATCTAACAACGGAGGAACTATCAATTGAAGGTTAAGTCCACCATTGAAGGGACTATCAATTGCTTACCAAGATGGAGATGAGTTTCTGAAATTAAGATGGTGGTGAAAACAATGGTTTTGGGTAGATGCTTTGTGAGTTCAATAAGGTACGGTATTATCAAGAGGTATTTATAAATTAGAAATCTTAGGTTCAAATATTCTAGAAGTTTATTCAAAAGATCAGATAAAACTCAATTCAAATTGAGTTTGTTACAAGTTCCTACTAAAAGATAAGCTTAAAATTTATTTTTTTATTTTTTTCAAAACCAGTTTCTGCAAAATAGGAAACCAGATTTTTTTTTTCTTTATCCGAAAATAAAAATAATAATTATTAAAAAAAATTTTTTTATAAAATTTGAAAATAATTATAAATTTAAACTTTATACTAGAAAAATCGTTGATTAAATATAATCAAAAATTTGGGGTATTACATTACGGGGGTGGGGGATGTGAGGGGCCAATTTCGGGGGTGGGCCTGGTGAAGAGGGGTTGTTTTCGGTGGGGTGGAAGGGGAAGGTTTTCGGCGGATTCTGGTTGGGCTAGGGGGAGGAGGGTGGCTGGTATAGAGGATAGGGACATAACTTTATTGATAACCGTTTGATTAAACATTTAAAAAGATGGATATAGGGGTATATGGGGGTAAGTGAAACTTGAAATTACTCCATAACCATTAACTTGTTTTTTCTCTTCTTCAAATTTTTTTTAATTTTTAATTTTTTTTTTTTTTTTTTTTTTTATCATATCACTACATACTATAGCTTACTAGTATTTAAAGTAGTTAGCGTTTATTTGGGGTTGAAGCTAGCGTTGGATGAAGGTGTTAGCCGAGTTGTGCTTGAGAGTGATTGCTTGGGAGTGGTGGAAGTGATGCGTGGAGGTGCAAAAGGCGCAAGTTCGTTCCATCTTATTGCTGAGGATATCTTAGATTTATGTTCTCACTTTATTGATTTTGTTTGGTCTTTTGTTAAAAAGAGCGGGAATAGAGTAGCACACAAATTGACTCATTTTCAACCTTGAGGATTCGGTCAAAGAGTGTGGAATAATAATTTCCCGACTCAAATCTTAGATGTAGCGAACAATGATTTATTAATATAAGTCCTTTTTAAGGGTTGTTTGACTTGTTTCTCAAAAAAAAAAAAAAAAAAAAAAAAAAAAAGTTGTTAGCAACAACGTCCTCCTCGCCTTATTTTTTTGTCCAGAGAATCAGAAAGAAAGAGCGAGGATGGATTCCGCTGCTCCCACATTCAAGGTACTTTCTTTTACGCTACTTTGTTCTTCAGTTCTTATCTACAAACTTATATTTTTCGAATTATTCGTGTAATTAAACTCAAATTTCCACTCTTAGTACTCTACATTAATTGCCTATCTGGGTCTTGTTCCTTATTTATGGACTTTAGTTTATCAACTTTCCTGAATAATTTTTGGTAATAATTTCAATATTGAAGAAATTGATTAGTAGCATTTTGAAGATTTTTTTTTTTTTTTTTTTTTTTTACTTATACTATGCATATATTAACCCATTTACTGATACGTTGATTGAAAATTGTATGTGACACATACTATGGGGTTTGGTGCAGATAATTTTGGGCTCTAAATCAAAAGCAAGAAGAGAAATAATGGTGGAAATGGGTTATGAATTCACAATTATGGTAAATTCATGGTTGATTACTTGATTGTTCTGCTGCTTTTTTTTCTTTAGTTTTCTGGGTTTTTAAATACGAAGTATGTCCTGCAGACTGCAGATATTGATGAAAAAGCTATCCGCAAAGAAAAACCGGAAGATTTGGTTATGACCCTTGCTGAGGCGAAGGTGCAATCTTTATTCCCTATTTAAGTTTGAGATGTTTGTGCAACTTCATATGTTGTGCTTCGTTGCGAGTTTGCGATTTTTCGTGTTTAATGCATTTTGGTTTATTTGTAGAGAGTTTACTCCCTCTGTCCTTATCTGTATGCCTCAATGCCTCATCAGAGTTTGGGGGATATGACCAGTGACTAAACCAGTAGGACCATATGTAATTGACGAGAGAGTAAAGTGATAGGACCATCATGGGATAGGTTATACATTTAGGGAATCCGAGCATGAAAAATGAGGCATAAAAATAAAGACGGAGGAGTATAAAGCATCCTGTACTTAAAGTTGACTTGAGCTTGACATGAACAATCTCCAAATCTGTTCTTGCATAAGAAAATGTAACTTAACTTGAGCATGAGGATAAGATACAAGTGTATGTATGACACTATGAGGCCTTGCAGTTTGTTTTTCTTGTTCGAGTGTGAACCTGTGTTCTACAGTCCTATAGACACTATTAATTTTAGGTGAAATAAGAGAGTAAGATTAATGTAAGGCTTATAGTGTATTCATGTAATATGTGGTTGTCATATTGTATGCACCATGCCTCGTAATCTCCATATAGAGTTGTGACGGTGTAATACATTTCTTCTTGTGAAGCCAACTCGTTCAAGCCTAATGGTGAGTTGTGGATATCCTTCAGGCTGATGCCGTCATCTCAAAGCTTCAAATTGCTGATAAACAAGTGAACGATAATGAGCCAACGCTTCTCATTGCGGCTGACACAGTATGTTCTTTCATCTTTCAATCTCTGTGCTGCCCTACTGTCTGAAATATATGTTATGCACTTCATATTTATTCAGATATTGCTTAATGCTTGTCTTCTGAGAGTGCTTTCACACTCTTTATGTACTTTTTTAAAAATTTACACAGGCTTTCTACTTTTGGCTGTTTTTACTCATGACTCTTGATCATATCAAAATTTATTGGGCAGCTCAATTTGTGCTTATGTTGAACATGATATTTTAAATAAATCATCTCATCTCATCTTTCTTTCAATGTACCCTTCAATCTTTCTCCTTTTCTCAACCAGTGTTTACATAGACATCAGAAAATTCCATAATTTGTGTTGCGAGGTTGAGTATAGAATCCTTGAGTGAGAAAGCTACTGTGGCTTGCTAATAGCAGTGGATGAAGCTGGTATATTAAGAGGATTTAATGTTATTACTGCAAATTTGCTGGGAGTTTCTAATAAGGATGTTGGTTGTTTTGATGCTATACTGTGATACTGCCTTTTTTTTTTTTTTTTTTTTGTGTTGATGCCAACCTGTAAAATGTGTCTTCTTTGTCCTTTTGCAATTCAGTTGTCATAGGTACTGGGGGCATTAATTGCGGCTGTATTTTTCTATTATCATGATGCTGCTCAAACATTGCTGATTATCTTCGCCTCTGTATATTTAAGTGCCTCACATACAAAGTATTTATAATAATTGTATACTTACTAAAATCAAAGAAATAAGAATTCTGTATTCTCTATCAGAATATCAGAAATAGCCTCTCAACTGATCAGTCAATTAGTCAGAGACTTTTGCATCCTCTCTAAGTTTTTGAAAATCATTGTGAGAGCTGATTTACTTGTGGTCAATGCTATGTTCTTGTGGTCAATGCTACATGTGATCATCTGTTCTTTTTTTGGTGAATGCTGTACAATTGAGGTTAAGGTCAGCACAGTGCCTGTATTTCCCCTATTCAATTTTATTATTAGCTAATTAAGCTGACCATAGAGTTATCAACTGACTGATTGTAATTCTTGATATGTTGTCACTTGTTTCTTGTCTAATCTGCTATTGAAACCAATCTTATGGACATATTTCAGAGGCTAATGCTATTCCTTAGTTGTAACTTGTTATTAATTTTTTTTTTAGCTTTGTGGTTGAAATAAGATGTAAACTCTTGATTGCATTCATCTAGTTATATGCTTGATGACCCTTCTATTAGAAAATGGCTGCAAGTCCCGCAACATTACCAAAGCTATAGCATTAGAAGTTTTCTCCAACTATTTAGTGTGTATGTTGTTGAAGGTTGTGTTAGTATATTCTGTTGACAGTGGTTGTGTATGTTGTCAAAGATTGTGTTAGTGTTGTCGGTGGATGCCATATTTACTTAATTTATCGCCATATCTTCTCAGGCAGAAGCCACATTAACAAACTCTTCCAATGGTGATCTCAGAACTGATGCTGGACCCACTATCTTAATTACAGCCGACCAAGTATAAATAGTTTCCTTTTTTTTTTTTTTTGTTATTTTATTTTTCCTTTAAAGATCATATTCCAGTTAGTCTCTGCAATAATTTTTTTCCTTTTGGAAATTATTCACCCGGCATATGTTGTAGTTTGAGATACATCTTTGTTTCTCAATACATTGCATCATTTTGACTTTTATGTTTTCCAACACACTATCTTGACCACTTCTAACTTCAATTATATGCTAGAAAAAAATTATAAAAGCTGATATTTTGAGAATATAAATTGAGATTCACCTAACAACAATTGTAACAAAATGTGGTGAAAGTATGATGCATGTTTTGAGACACACAGGAAGTAGAATCGTATGCACATATAGTCCTTACCTTTTGTATATGAAATAATGTATAATAAAATCATACTAAGAAGAAGCATAAGTAATAGATTCATCAAATAGCAATATCCGAAATATAAGTGGATAGATACTTTTGCCAAGTTAAATATGATTAGCAAGCAAAAACTGCAAAATGGTGAGATACTCTCTTGAACTATTGAGTTTTGCAAAGTGTAGAACTAAGAATGCTTTCTGTCATAAGCGTCATTCCCTCTTGTCAAATGTAGGCTACGTAGTACACACTCTTACTGTGCTTAATTATTGAGAGACTCCACATCATATGACACTTCACCTTCCTATTTATCATAACAATTGACAACTTTATTTAATTAATGTAAGAAATAAAGGCATATAATTCCTTCAAGTATTGGCTATCCTACACTCTATAGATTCGACCAGCCTCTGAGGTTAAACAGCTTTGGCAGCATCATATATGCTAAGCATAAGATTTCCTTGGTTGTCTTTTATCATCAAAAGTGTTGTAATTCTTGTAATCAACAACTTTCCTCAGGCAGAGAGCAGTTGCTGTTAAAATAATATTATATGATATTCTAATTTCCATCATTTTCTTCCTATACTAGAAACATTGAATTTATTTTTGTCAAAAAATATAAAAAAAAAAAATTGAATTTGCCAGAAAAAATCTGAAAGCACTTCTCCTCGTCAATTTAGATCCCTGCACATTTTGATGATTCATCATAGCTTTCAGAGCAACTCAATTTTCTGAAAGACGCATTCATCTTAGTGCCCATTGCCAAAACTCCCTTTTTAGGTCAGGGCTATGAATACACATTCCATGTGCTTACCCTTGCAATTGTCACAGAGCATGTTTCTTTGATAAGATAAAAGTCTTATTGAGGAAACACAATATATATTTAACTGGCTTCAAGTTCTCGCAGAGAATTTATTATTCATACTCTATTTGGTTTCTTTAGAATCCATCATCTGGCAACTTATATATATAATCTGCTGATTAACAGCTTATGCACTTTTTAGTTGATGCCATGTTTGCTGATTTAGGCAGCTATGTCCAGTATGTGGAAAACTGTGAAGAAGTAGGCAGCTTATGTTTGCTGGATGTTGTACCAAGAAATTCAGCGTTGATTTTGGAACTGTGCAATTTTAGTGGTATAGTTGAGTTTGGTCTCACTTAGAGTGTCTATATAAAATTCTTCTTTTTAAATGTGGATTTGACCATGTGGAGACATATTGGCCTGTTTAATCGCTAAAATTTAGTATCGCTCTTTGTGATTTACTTGTAAGTGAGAAAGTCAACTTGGGACATAGAAAAGCTGTAATGTTTTGAGGGTTTCTCTTAACATAGCTCAATATTTGACTAGCATCAAACTAATCTGTTGGTTATAACTCTTATAAGGTGTTACGTGAAGATGTGACTTGGAAGAATTCAATAAATCAATAGTGCAGGCTTGGGTTTGGGAAACTGCTTTTCTATAAAAACAATTCCTCACTTTTCAACTGTCGTGTGTTCTTCTCTCTTTCATTCAACGTCTTTGTACTTCGCAAAAAAGATGTATAAAAGGAGCAATGTTCTGATACTTTATTAGTGAAATTGAAAACTAGAGTAAAATCTCCAAATTTGAAATCTTGAATATAAAAAATTTGGTATCATTATCCTTTTTTTTTTGTCTTTATATTGTATGCCATTATCTCACTTATACCTTCAATCTTTGCAAAGTGAAATTGAAAACTAGAGTAAAATCTCCAAATTTGAAATCTTGAATATAAAAAATTTGGTATCATTATCCTTTTTTTTTTGTCTTTATATTGTATGCCATTATCTCACTTATACCTTCAATCTTTGCAAAGTCAAATGAGCATCTGTAATTAAGCTAATGTGGGTCGTATTTTACTATTTCCAACATCTGTTAACTTCATTTCATTTTGGAAAAATTAATTTTCGAGGAAAACGTGAGGATTGTTGCTTATTTCTCATTTTCTTTCATTCTAGGTGGTGGTTTATGAAGGCATGATAAGGGAGAAACCATCTGGCAAAGAGGAAGCTCGACAGTATTTAAAAGGTTTCTATGTGCCTCTGAGAGTGTCATTGTCTATCAATTTGTGTTAATTGGGATGCGTTTACTTGTTTGTGGAATCTTTAAGTCAGGCAGTAATTTGATTGTAGAACTGGACTTGTGTTCCTTCTTGGGCTTAAATTACCTTCTTTGAATCAGTACTAGATAACAAGGTCACCATATGGCTGCTGGCACATTGTTTGATTTAGGGTTGTTTGGCGATGAACACTGGCTATTGTAGGTCCAGTTTGACATCTCTAAAGGGGGTCCTTGGTTTGATGAGATATTTAGTAGATGCTGACTGCTGAACTCTCTCTGGCCTTGAAGGTCAACCCACAGTAACTGTAACTCTTGTAAGCTAGAGCTTTCCTTGCTTATTGCTAGAGCTACGGAAGTGGATCCCTGCAGTATACTATAAGAATAACAGCCTACCTAGGTTAAATTACAGCTATGAACATGATCTTGGTAACATTCACGCCTTGTAAAAGTGCACTTGATCAATTAGCATTAGGAATCTTACTCTTTGTTTGATCAAGAGAGAATATACGAGGGGTGTGTATTGTAAAACAACTTTGTAGTTTTGAACCCCTCTTGCTGCTTCTAAGTGATTTCTTCCCATCCTGTCTTGTCATTCCTTTTATTCTTATCAACTGTAAAGAAGAATAATACTACCTCCTTTTCATATTATTTGCAACGATTTGACATAAAGTGTGAGTGGAAAGTGTCTAATCGTTGCAAATAATATGAAACAGAGGTAGTGATTGACTTGGCCTGAGCTCAGATTTTCTTTGGAGAAGGGTTCTTTCCAAAGTCAATGGATTTTCAAGTATTAAACAGAGAAGATGATGAAAGTTCATCTAGATAGCTCTGCAGACTGTTGTCCATACTTAAGTACAATCAAATCACCATTGCTGGCAATTTGTGGTTTGAATCAACAGCTATAAAATGGTGCAGTTTCTTATCTAAAAAAATAAAATTAAAAAAATTAAAAAAAAATGGTGCAGTTGCTGTCTACCACCTCGTGAGTGAAAATTTCTTCATCTACATGTTCTGAATGCTTATCGTTTAAGTATTCTAAATTGACCGGTGGCATTCCATTGGTATCCTAAATTCTAAGTAATACCACTTTGGTGATGTAAAGCTGGATGTATTATGCAATTACGATAGTATGTTATAGTGACAGAGAATTTTTGAGAACAGGAGAGCGCCATCTGTGGTCATGTTTCTCAAATTGGTTTCTCGTTTGTCTCATTGACAGATTATTCTGGCAGGAAGGCTTCAACTGTCAGCTCTGTTCTTGTGACAAACCTTCAGACAGGTTTCAGGAAAGGGGAATGGGATAGAGTGGAGGTACATTTTGATGTTATTTGTTTGAAAGTATTTAATTTACTGAGCCCTGCTTCATCATCTGGATAAGATACATACTCCTAATACTTAGTGAGTTCAACTGGAGAAAAATGAAGAAACTCCTTATTGCAGAAACCTTTTACTTATCTGTGTCTTCTCCACTAACAAACTTAGCCTACCCCAACCCCATAAAGGAAAAAAAACTGTTTATTTCGTTTCTTTTTTTTTTTTTTTTTTTTTTTTTTTTTTTTGTTGTTGTTGTTCTGTTTTAGGCAGTTATAGCTAGTTTCTGCCTTGTTTTTCAATAAATATTGCTGTAAATTGGCTATTTAATTTGTAATTTAGTTGGTTCATGATGCAGCTTCCTGATTTAGAAAGTGAACTTTATGTTTGTATATCTCCTCTTCTGAGATCCATGTTATTCTTGAAGACGAAAAATACCCACTATTTATTTTTTCGTTTTTTTTTATATCTGTATATATACTGCATAAAGTCCTTTGGATAGCATCTTGTGGAGAAGCTTTAGAAAAAAGAGCAACATGAACTTTGAGATTCATAATCTTCATTGTAGGCTAACATGTTTGCACTTTTGAACACTAATTAAGAAGTCTACTGTGGCAGAAAGTTCATATTTGACACTCTTTTGTATTTAGAAACATATTTGTTATTTATGCCCTCCTACTTTAATTTATGCATGCTACCTGATACAAGTGCGCATGACACTTTTACTGCCATAGTTGCCCAGAGCTGTATACCTTATTCTTTAGTTCCTGGATGAAATACTCCGTAATACATATGCTCTGACATCTTTGCAGATTGTGTTTGATGAAATACCAGATGATACTATTGACAAGCTTGTAAGCATTCTCCTTCCTCAATATCCTTTATCCTTTCTTATGCCTCTCAAAAATCTTTCGGATATATAGTGTGAGAATGATTCTAAAACATGTTGCCTTTAACTTGATCCTTTCCTTCCAATTTTCAGATCGAAGAGGGTGCAGTACTGCATGTTGCTGGTGCTCTAATAATTGAACATCCTCTCATAAAACCCTTGGTTAAGCAAGTGGTTGGTCTTCTCCACTCTCTTTGCATTTGCTTCAATATTAGTTATCCTAGACCGCTCTATATGATATAGGAAGAATGTGGAATTTGACCTTTGTGCAGAATATGCAATCAATTAAAAATAAAATCATCGTGCCAGGGTAATATTCAAAATCACAGAACCTGTCACAAACATTACACCATCAATCGGATATGATGTCATACTAGATCATTTCACTCATTACTGAAGCTGTCAACTAGTTGGATCTTGATCAAGAAATGAATTTGTGTAGCGCAATTTAAGTGCACCCCTTTGTGAAACCATCATATATGAAGGGGACTTGGGCATATGTTGAAAATATTGTTATTTACTCGTGCAGGTTGGGACGACCGACAGTGTAATGGGCCTTCCGAAAGCAGTAACAGAGAGATTAATCGCAGAGTCACTGTAGGTCAGAGATTAAGGCAATTCGCAATTTGCAACTGATGATATTGGGTAATTGGTCCCTTGATGGCAAATATGATCTTTATTTAACTTGTGATTAAGTCAAGAATAGTTGGTCTCATTGATGAAGCAGAACACAGGGCTTAATGAATACAGTGTTAATTTTGGCCATCTATTATGTTGTTAGTTTCATGGAAACTATTCTTGGAAAGCAGCCAGAATACAAATTTCAAACTATTATTGAATTATTACTTTAACTTGCCAGCCTTTTTGTTTATGTAATAATGCTTCTTTTCTTGTAGATTCTAAGTTCTACTCACTCTTTTTATCCATTATTCTAAGCTCTATTCACTTTCACTTTATTCCTTTTATGACCTCACTTTATGGATCATAATTTATTTAATAAATCTCTTACTCTCTACTATCTCTCTTTAATACTTTTTATGGTTTATTTTAAGTGAAACGCTTCTTAAAATCAGTCGTTTTTTTAATTGCAACACTTCATTAAATGGAAATATGTTATAATATTTTGGTCCCAATAATCACACTTTTAATATTTTTATTCCCTCACATCCCTTATTTTTACATAAGTTATTCACCCATTATCATTTTTTTTTAATAAATCCTAATTGCACAATATATATTTCAAAGTGGTGTAATCAAAGAGGAATTCTAAGACTAATAACTTGAGTCCAAATGCACTCTAATAGAGTCAAAATGGTAAATTGACGTTTGGAGACCAAAAAAAAAAAGAGGGACGTGCAGAATAAAGGACAATTGTTAATATGGATCAAATTTTTTTATGTAAAAGTCTTTGCTTTTGAAATATTTACTTTTCCTTTGTCATTTTCTAGTCTCTTTCCCCTATCATTTTCGAACTAGATGATGAAAAAAAAAAATAAATAAATAAAAATAAAATAAAATAAAATAAAATTCTCTATCTAAAATTTCCCCATTATTCTTTTTTTTTTTTTTTAAAATAAGAAGTCCTAAAGGACACTATATTTCATTAATTAAAGTCATACGGCATCTACAATAAACAATTAACGTTAACAAAAACAAATCTAACAAAGTCAAACAAGAATTAATCGGGGAAGGGCTATGAATCCAAATACATAAATATAACAATTCAGCTCATTCTCAATTCATTGTCTCATACAACTTTTTGAGTGGATCCGCCGTAGCTTCACAATTTTTAGAGAAAAATAATTCTTGTGTTGATGATTTCGTAATTTGAATCCGAGCAATAATCAATCGTAGTCTAGCATAAATGGAGACCAAATTAAAGGCAAATAACACCTTATCTTGAGCTTGAAAAACCTTGTGTATCGAAGGAGATCGGAAAAATCTTGTCTTTCGAATGAGATAAACCCTTTCTTTCGAGGGAGACATTATTATAACCTAAGAAAGCAATAAAATAAAAAAAATAAAAAAATAAAAAGGCTGGGGCTTTCCAATGGTGAAATCCGATGGAAGCCCCTTAAAAACTAACAATGGAGGCTAGAATTTAGGAGAGAGAAGAGAGAAGGAAAGGCTAGGGTTTCCTTACGAACTGAAATTATTTTAAAATTTTCCCCATAATTCTGGCAACTCCTCAAATTCGATCATTTTCCGGTCAAAGTAAAGCTTGAGTCTAATGCATTTACGGCCAAAAGGTAACATTTGTCACACATTTTGTGTGAATGTAATGATTGTTGCAAAAAAAAATTGCATAAATCGTACTAGACCGTGTTATTTACGATTATGTTTGTAGTTCAGTTCTTTGTTTCGTTGCGTGTTGCCGATGGTTTTGTCATCTAGGGTTTTCTTAAATCTAGTCGTCAATTTTGGGTTTTATGCTCCAATTTATTTTCTTAATTTTGGTGTGGTGACTTACAGAAATTTTTTGCTCATGAATGTTTGCTAATTTTGGGTGTGAATTTAGGGTTTTATGCTCCAATTTATTTTCTTAATTTTGGTGTGGTGATGTTCAAAAAAATTTCGCTCCTGAATTATTTTGGGCGTGAATTTAGGGTTTTATGCTTCAATTTATTTTCTTAATTTTGGTGTGGTGATGTTCAAAAAATTTTCGCTCCCGAATTATTTTGGGCGTGAATTTAGGGTTTTATGCTCCAATGATTTTCTTAATTTTGTCTTGAATTTTATTTATTGTATAATGTCTTGAATGTTAAGTTGTTGATTGTTTATGAATTCTTTAATTGAATGTTAAATAATTTAAGTGTTTGGGTTGTTATAATTTGTTGATTGTTTTTGCGTCCTCCAATTAGTAGTCAATTTTAAAATTAGGTTTTCCAATTTTTAAGTCATTGCAAGGATTTGTAATTTTAATCTTCTATACAACAATGACCTGTGTTTTTGTAATTTTAAATCATTGCTTGTAGATATATCATTGTTTAATTTCATAGTAAGCTGGATGTTCAGTTGGTGCTTATGTTTTTGTTTATATTGTGGGTTTCTTTTGATGTAATATTTATCTAGGGTTTATTATAATAAAATGCATGTAAAGTCTACTTCAGTTAGCTAAGTATAGGTTATTGAATTGGTTCATTGTATGAAATCTTGTTTATTTCTGGGTTTTGTGAGCATGTGCACAATGTTATTTCTGGGGTTTGTTCTTCATATTTGTTTATTAAATTTATCATGTGATCATGATAGGAAATCTTTCAGTAATAGTACGTAGTTGTTACTTGTTAGTATTGATGTAATGGCAGTATGTGATAAAGATTTGGCAATTGTATGGAAAATTTGCAAGAATATATGGAAAATTTGGCAAATAAATATGGAAAATATATTAAAAAGAATTTTGGGAGTAATTTTTGGCAAATGTATTAAAGAGAATTTTGAGGGTAATTTTGTATGTTCCATTTGTGATTATGCAAGCTTTACAAAATTCTTATGTGTTGTCATAAATTTTGTTCCAGCGTGCATGGTGGTAAAGAAGTTCAAGTCAAGGCGAAATTGGGGGGTGAGTTTGTAATGATTAGTATTAATTTAGTCGTGAGTGTGGTAAATTTAATTTGGAGTTTTTGACATATTTGAGTGATGGTTTTATTATTGATATTTTGATAGTCTTCTATAAGTGAAATCATGAAGGATCAACCTATGGCTAGTGCAAGTAACATTGGCAAGCGAAAAAGGGGAAACTCAAAGCAACCAGTGGAGGCGTATGATGGTGACAATGAAGAAAGCGGATCGTACGCTAAATTTTACCATGAAGATGATGATGATTCCGTTTCTGATCCTAATTGTAGACAAGGGCAGAGCTCTGAAAGTGAGAATTTTGTCCACAATTTTCAGAAGGTCCACAAAAAGTCTGTGAAGAGTTCCAATGTGAAACCAAGAAAGGGAAATATTGAATTCAATCAACAAACATAGGGAAAGAAGAAGAAAAGGCACGTAAGAGCACTTACACCAATGAGTTTTTTCTATTCTAGAATTATTTTTTTGGATAAAATATTACCCCACCAAAGAATATCCCCAAAAAAATCTAGAGATTTTATTTTTCAAAAAAAATCTCTTGGAGAAAAAATTCACATTTTCTCTTGTGCTTAAGTTTGCCGACAAAAGGTGGGGTATAGTTTGCAGATTTTTTTTTTGATTAATTAATTGTGGGACCCTCCTAAAATTAATAATAAAAAAAATTCAGCAATGGTACAAATGCAAATGCTGAAGTAAAATAAATTGTTAGCCAATGAAAGACTTATATGTGTCCCTTTCAGGACAAGCCTTATTCTAACGGTACAAATGTTACCGTTTTAGTGTAAAACAATTATTTTGTATACAATCATCTATTTAAAAAAATAAAAAATAAGAATTCACTAATGGTCATAATTTTTTTTTCTCTATAAGTATACACCCATTTTCCATATTTTGACACAGATACAAAAGTCATTTTCTGCTCTTTAAATTCCTTAACTACATTATTTAAGTGTTTAATCAAATATCATCCCCTAAATATTTTTGATATTTAGTTCAATTTACTTAAAGTAAAAATGGATCCTAATAATCTCAATCATTGACAAAATGTCAATGACTTTGATCGGTCCTTCATCACTTATGAATCATCCACAATTCTCTCAGTTTTTTCAAATGTATGGAGGAATGAAATTTTCCTAATATTTCTCCATAACAACCACCTTCAGAAGAAACGACTCCACCCACTTACCAAAAAAATTTCCTGAGCTCTCAAAATTACAACCAATCTCCACAAATCTATCAAGGAAGCAATAGTTGACGAACTGATCAGTGACGAAGAAGAAACCGTTCAGGAGACTCCACAGAGTCCTCTGGAACGAAATAAACCACTTCTAGTTGCAACAAATACCCATGATTGGTCTGTTAAAGAAGAAGAGGCTCTAATTGAGGCTTACTTCACTAACTGCATAGACAAAATTATTATCAAAGATAGAAAATTTGCTGACCTTTGGAGTGATATACATCAAGCATATGAAGCGGCTCATCTATCTCGACCACATAAGATTCCGGAGTGGATCAAGAACATGTTGGAGACTCATTGGGAGATGATGGTGCCGACCTACTCATTTGGGCAAGTGTTATGGAAGAAGCATGTAAAATAACAAGAAGTGAATATAATGAAAGTGATGTCATCAGAAATGCCCTTGAATTGTTTCGAAGGTCTTGTCAAAGTGCATTAAGGAATTTCAAATATCAATATGTGTGGCGTAAGGTGAACGAATATCCAAAGTGGAGAAAGTTCATGAAGTGGGGTCGGAATAAGGAAGAAAGTTGATGATGAACACAAGGCAGAAACTAATCTTGAAAATAGCAGTGGTAGTGGTAAGAGAACTAGATATGATACTACTAGTTGCTTCGTATCTGGAGGTATAATTTAAGTTGCCCTAATGGTGTTAAGAAAGCTAAGGCCAGAAGAAAAGGCAAAGGGGTAGCATCGAAAGATTTTATTGTTGTGGTTGAACAAATGAAAGCTTACAATGATAAACGCGATGTTTAGGTTACTCTTAAACAAAAGAAACTAGCTAGATTTTGATATGGAGAAGGAAATGAGAAAGCAAAGACAACTGGAGTTGGAAGAGAAAAATCACCAAATGCAACAAGCAAAGATGTAGGCAGATACACTAAACAAGAAATTCGATACGTTGCAAGTGTTGTTCTCTATGACATCGCTGAACAAAATGGAAGAGAAGTTTAAGCAGAAATTAGTCAAGGAAATGTATGGGTAATTATTTAATAAAGTTAACTCTTAGTCTCTTGGCTTGGCATTATGTAGTGTTGATTTTTCATGGTACTGTGCAATCTTATTTATGGCATTGTGTAGTCTTGTTTATGACATTGTGTACTCTTATTGATGACATTGTGCAATCTTTACGGTATTGTGTAATGCATGTTTTATGGCATTGTCTAGTCTTTATGGTTTTGTAAAGTCCTTTTCACAATGAAATGTGTGTGCCCCCGAATAGTCACATATATGCCTATTTCTGGATTGTGTAGTCCTTATCACAATGAAATGTGTGCCTCTAAATAGTCACATCTATGTCATTATTGGCATTGTATAGTCATAATCACCTTAAGATTGAAAACTGCTATACCAACAAATTTTCTCATTTCATTCTATATAAAGACTATGTGAATGGTTTGCAATACACACTCAAAACATCCACAGAACTTTTACTAAAGTTAACACAAATAATGTTGTTTCTAAAAAGCTATTCAAGCTCAAGTTCTTCATCTGATAGTAATGAAGAATTTCACCAGGTTATTGACGACCTTGCCAACAATCACTTACCATATATATTGTACCTAACACCTCCACCTCAAAACCAACGTAATAATACAGATGCTCATGTTGTGGTTCAAATGTATAGAAATCAAGATCAAGGGCATAGCCAATTTTTCAAAGACTACTTTGTAGATCCTCCAGTATATAATGAAAATCAGTTTCTCCGAAGGTTTCAAATGAAGCGGCCACTGTTTTGTAAGATTGTGAATAAGATTGTCGAAGATGATGAGTTTTCCAACAAAGACGAAATGGAGCTGGGAAGTTGGGATTATCCGGACTCCAAAAATGCATTATGGCAATGAGAATATTAGCCTAAGACCTACAAAAGATCCTTTACAGAAATGACCAACGAGGTTTTCCAGACATGATTGGCACTTTGGCAGTATTGATTGTACGCATTGGGAGTGGAAGAATTGGCCATATGCACGGAAAGGTCAATATTGTGGACGAAATACGAATGCAACCCTCATTTTAGAAGCAGTTGCAGATGAAGATCTATGGATAGGGCATTCTTTTTTCGATATTTCAAGTTCTTGTAATGACCTTAATGTACTTTATCGTTCACCAATTATTACTGATGTTTTGTAAAGTCGTGCACCTCCAGTGAAGTTTAGTGTCAACGGCCATAAATACAACATGGCTAACTACCTAGCTGATGGTATTTATCCTTGGGCTATTTTTGTGCAAGGATTTACCAATCCTTAAACTCTTAAGCATATATTGTTTGCTGAACAGCAAGCTGCTACACGTGAAGATGTTAAACATGCATTTTGTGTAGGTTCATAATTGTACGACAACCAGCTCTTGCTTACGATGAAAATGTGCTAGCTGACATTTTGAAGGCTTGTATAATCATTCATAACATGATAGTAGAAGATGAATGAGATACTTATAAGAATGTTGAAGTAACAACAAGATATTACGAATCGAGTACAAGTGGTACCATAATTTCGAGTATGCTTTGTAGAGGTGAAGCGAGTACAAGTGGTACCATAATTAATGATGAGACTTTTCAGTTTCAAACGGGACGTTCTATCGACATTAACAAATACTTGGAGAGAACAGACGATATACGTAATAGACGAATTCACCAATCCCTGAAAGATGACTTGATAGAGCACATTTGGCAAAAGTTTGGTGACAATAATCCTTAAAATCTATTGACATCCCTACGTGATTAGAAATGAAATTTATTTACGGTTGTTTTACTTTCATTATTTTTTAAATGACGCTTTAATCTTCATGTAACGTAATCTTATTTCACTTTTTTTTTTTTTTTTTTTTTTTTTTTTTGTAATGTAATGCCATTTCTAGTTTTATTACTTGTGTCTTTGTTATATATTTAGCAAATTATTCATAATTGAATTCTTCAAGTAATTTTTTCACTAATTCATAACTATTATACGTTAAATTAATTATTATTCTTTAATTAATTCGTAATTAGTTAAAGACATAATATTAATAAATTACAATTAATTATCGGCAAGTATGTGGGTAGGAAAAATTATGGATTTAGTAATTAATAAAATAAAAATTGAAAATAAGTAAGAGTGAGAATATGGTGGGGTATGGTAAAAAGTAAGAAAGAGAGTGGTGAGGGAATTTTTTGGTTTGTTTTTAGAGTATAGCCAATGGATGCCCATTGACATGGTGGTTATCACATTTTTTTTTATCAATGTCTCTCTCTTCCATCTCATTTATGCTCAACTCTCATGGCCATGCCCACTTATGCCCATGCCCTCCCATTGGTTGCCCTTCAATTTTGTGGTCATTGATTTTCTTTTTCCTACTTTTACTCTACCCCACCACTACAATTAGTGCATTAATGAATTAAATACTTAATAATAAATGATTAAATTATTTATTCATCATTAATTAAATGTAATTATTAATTATTAATGTAAATTGTGATCTAATAATCGTTAATTAAGTAAAAAAAATGATAAGATGATACGATAACATATTATATGACAATACGATAACAAATATTAAAAATACAATGATACATAGAACATTTCTTAAAAAGAAGAAAGCATGATTATTTAGATAAAGTTAATGCTAAAATTGCAATAATACATTACTGTCGATTATTATACCTATTATTACCCCCAAACATGAGCCACAAATGTTCCATTAAATCCGACTTCAGGGCTCTATACATACTTTCATCACGAACACCAGCTCTATTACACATGTAATTATCCAAACTTGCAATTCAACTTTCACTATTTGGAAATTGGAAGGGTTCATTATTATTTCTACTGCTTGAGGATGGAGGTGATGCTTGATCATATTTAGTCGGATCATAATACGTTGCATATGTATCTCCTTCATCCTCAACGATCATATTGTGCATAATAATGCAAAGCTATCATAATTTTTCCCAACATTGATACATCACGAGTAAGAGTAGGATTTCTTATTATTGCAAAGCGAGTCTGTATTACCCCAAAAGCACGCTCAACGTCCTTCTGCATACTTTCTTGTTTCTTAGCAAAAAGACCCTCTTTTTTGTTTTGTGGGAGGGATATGGTGGGAATAAATGCCGCCCATCTAGGATATATACCATTAGTAAGATAATATCCCATATTGTACCACATATTGTACTAGGTAGTCGTAATGATACCAATGTTCTTGATAATAATGGAGATTTATCAAGAACATTGGTATCATTACGACTACCTGGTGTCTCGGAAAAAGCATACCAAATCCAAAGATCATATGACGCCATAGCTTCCAAAATTAATGCGGGCTTACCGGCTTTTCCAAAAAACATCCCTTCAATCTAAGAGGGCATTTCTTCCACCGCCAATGCATGCAATTGATGGATCCGAGCATTCCTGGGAAACCTCTTCATTCTCCAATTCTCAGTTTTCTTACCAAATCTTCTTCATTGGGTTTCCTAAGGTATTCATCGCTAAAATAAGAGACAACACCTTCTACAAAATGTTGTAAGCAATCTCCTGCAAGAGATCCACTAATCCGAATGTAGTCTTCCATAGAATCAGTTGAGGTGTCGTATGCTATTAACCTCATAGCCGCTGTGTATTTCTGCAATGCTGACGTTCTTCCAAAGTGTTTTTTATACGGAGAAAGACATTTTGCTTCATTTAAAATCTTCGACGGAATAAATGTACAGGGAGCACGGGAGGATATGCAAAGTAGTCGTTCCATAAATGAGCTTGTCTATCTTCACGATATCTTTCTACAGGTTTCCTTGATGCCCTCGGAATTTGATTTAAAGCTTGATATATATCAACTAGATTGGACATTATTACTTTATCCATCATTCGATCAACAACTTGATTTGCTTGTCTACGCCTTTCATAACGTCCATCATCACTGTCATTCGATAATTGGGTGAGTAGGTTGGAAACATTTTCAGAATTTGAAGAATTGGAATAGGAATTAGAAGAGTTAGAAGTTTCCTCTGAACACCTATTTTATGAAAGACAGTTTAATTTGAGAATAGAAGGTTGAATGAAATGCAAATTGATGTAAACCATTTTATAGCACAATGGTGTATGTATGCTATCAATATACATACGTACACACAATAACTACATTACTCAAAACAATAAATGTCTTCCATTGAGTTATCATATCAATTGTTTTTTGTGATAATTTATATCTGCACAGATGCTTGTATATTGATACTTTCTGCAGTGTATCATCAATGCACCAGTTTTTTCAGTAAATAATTGGTACTTGTTGTAGTGATACACATATCAATGCACTATACTCTTTAGAAAATAATTGATACTTTTTGCAGTGATACATACATCAATGCACTATACTCTTCTTAAAATAATTGATACTTTTTGCAGTGATATGTACATCAATGCACCAGTATTTTAGTAAATAATTCATAAAATAATATATTTATTAAAAAAGAACACCATTAATTAAACATATATTATTAATTAAAAACGACAATACAATAAAAACAACTATTAATATCTAAAACACACTTGAACTTAAACTTATTAATTACGGAAAAAAAGAAATACAACAATGGTAAGCATAACTAATTAGAACCAAACACAATAATTTAAAGCGAACACTAATGAACTAATCTGATGGAAATATCTTCTTCAACAAACTATTCCTCAACTCCTGATCTGCTTCAGATAAATATGGCTTCAAATCAAGATGTTTGAACAACTCCATATTAATTTTCCTTTGCTTTCTTGCTTCTCTTTCCCTTTTCAACTAAGTCTTTTTCCCTTTCCACTTGAAACAACTCTACTTCTTTTTCTCTCTGATACTTTAATCTTGTAATTTTAATTTCTGTTTTAGTTTGTCGTGTTATGTTCATGTTTTGGACCGTGTCCAACCAATTTTTCCATACTTCTGATGGAATATTCGCCATTTTACTCTTACCTTTGTTTTTGCTGGATTCATTGCTTGAAGGGAAGCCTGAACTTTCAATATCACCACTGGTTGGTGTCTCTAGGTTTGTTGATGATGAGTAGTTACCATCTTCATTGATCCTCATTCTTTTTGAGTTGCTGCCTTAAGTGGATGTCTTCTACTTGCAAGTACCAATAACATTTATAGTCGGCTTCCAAGCATCATGTTGAGTTAGAATATCCAAAGCATGCTAATCATGGAAGGTTTTAGACATCAATTTTGTCTTTGATTTGTCGGCAACATAGATCTTATATAAACTGTCTTCATAACATCCTCATCACTCTCACCACTCCCCCTTCTAGATTCAGCACTAGCTAATGAACCACAAAATTTAGAGCATGAAGCATTTATCCTTCTCCACCGACATCTAAGTTGTTATAAACCTCTAACCTTTAACAAATCATCTTGTGTAACCCTTTCAGTACCTTCCTCAAAACACTTTTGTTTATATACTATAATATTATCATACATTTGTTCAATTTTCTTCCAGAAGACATCCCCTTTCTGGTTGGTATTAGTTTTTTTTTTTTTAATTACGACTAACCTCAACCCAAGTTTTCACAAGAGTCACTTCTTCAGCTTTCGACCAAAATCGATTGCCTAGTTGATTACCTCCTTCATTAGCTCTATCTTTTTCTTCAACTTCTTCTTCATCATCACCGTCATCATCTGATGGTGCGTTTGATCTATATGAATAATCAAAACCCGAAAATGCAACTTCACCTTGTGACATAGTGAAATGGTGTGAGATAGGAAATGTGGATTCATCTTAAGATAATTGAAAATTTTGAAAAGATGAACAATTTGTAGCGGAAAATCATCTTGACAAAATAAGACGAAGTTCGTATATTGTGGTGGCCGTGGAGGGAATTGAGTGAAAGTATTTGGATTTGAGATATTCACATTTCCAAAAACGTAAGTAGAAAATTGTGTTAAATTAGGTTCCAAATCAGAGTTGAGATCAATGGGATGATTAGAAAAAAAAAAAAGGATGAATATTTGGACTATTTTGGAGTTGTGATGAGTTTTTGGATTTTGTGGGATTTTCTTCCTTTGGGAATTTAGGTTATCCATCTCCAAAAGTTTAAATTTCACTAGGCTTGGATTACCACAAAATTTTGCTTACTATATGGGAGTTGTTTCGGGGTATTTGGAGTCCCTCGGGAGAATTACAATTCCAAGAATGGATGTCGACCGTCTATACCTACAAAATCAGGGAAACTCCGGTTGGGTGGAGTTCCGCCTCCGACGATCAAGTTAGAACGTGTCCGGATGTATAAAAGTGCGGAATGTAAAGGTTTTTCTCTCAAATTCCGAGAGAATTCTGCAATTAATATTGCTCGGGTTTTTTGTGTGTATATTTCTAAATATGCAATAAATGAGAATTTTCCTCTATTTATAGTGTTTGGGGATCAGTTCCCCTTTCATGGGTTGAAGTGTCACGTGTCACCAGAGGGTTGGTTCTTTTAGAACCTCTTTGAGGCTGACACGTGTCAGCATGCTATTGGGCCACTTGGACCGGGTATTTTTACCCTAAACAGGAGTAATAATTGATGAAAAAAAAAAGTTTGGTTAAAATACCTCTAAATTACACTCATTTTATAGAGGAGAGCTGTTGGTATATTTTTTTTTTTAAAGTTTGTATTTTAAAAGTTATGACCGCTGCAAAATTTACAATGTTCATATTTCATTTTAATTTCAGACCATTGGATTTAAAATTGCAAAATCAACAATCTGCTGCCATGTGACACTTCCCAAAAAAATTTACCCATCTTTCTCCTCTCCTCCCAATTCCCACGTGAGCTCATCCAAATTAAGAAAATAATAATAATAATAATCTCAGCAACCACTCTCTGTTGGACAAGTGTCAAAATAACATTCAATGCCCATTCTTAACAAGTGGGCATGGCCATGACCTGGTCATGGACCATTTTCCACAAAAGTACTTTATTTTATTATTTTAAGCATTTTTTGTTTTTCTCTCTCTTCATGCCCACCCAAAATGGGAAACCATTGACAATACTCTTAGTTGGTGGGATGAAAAAAATTCTTTCATTAAAATCTAATGTGGAGGAGAGGGAAAGGTAGAGAGTAAATGAGGAGAGAGTTTTTTTTTCCTTCTTTGGTGAGAGTGCTCTAAAATAGTTTTTCTATTATTTCTATTGTAGTAGCTATTATTATTGTTATTAAGCAAGTTGATTGTTGAATTTAATGTCATAGATGGCAGAGGAAGTCGTTGAGGTGGCAAATACTGTTAATGAAGGCATAAAGGTGACGGTAATAATGGAAGTGTTGGTTAAAACACATTTGGAAAATTACAGTAAGGTAATAGTGAATTCTGCAAACAAGTGGAATATAGTTTGTTTGGGTGTTTTTTTTTTCTTTCTAATCTTTAATAGTGTATATTAAATCATGGTAAAACTCTCCAAGGGTGCTAGAGGAGAAGTCAAGGAAGTAGGATGCGGTGGCTAGGAAAGCCATGTTGGATCTACCACAAACAACTAGTACTCTATGAAGCACAACCTCCATCCTAAATCATTTTGTAGCTATTTTGCAGCCACATATGGCCCATCATTTGGTTTGCATCTCTAACTATTAGTTTGGCACAAACTTATTTAGTATTACTAATCAACTAACTAATAGGGGTGAAGCACACTAATCCAGCAACTACCATAGTCATGAAGGTACATTTTGTATTTTGGACGTGGCCACTAATTATGTTGGAAAGTCTTATTATGGTTTAATCTAAGTACCGTTTTCTACCAAAAAAAAATAAATATTAAATCATGGTGGTGTAGCTACTGTAAGCCCCTTAATAATCGTGCATGGGCATGATGCGCGGATGCGCTTGTAAATAGTATCATTAACTCTATGGTGTAGTTAATTGTGTCGTTTGTAAGTTTGTAGCATTTTATATATGATATAGTATTTGACTAAGTACTTACGGGCTATCTTTGGTTCTAATGGATGGGCCAAAGGTCCCACTATTGTGTTACTGTCATACCAGTGTTCACTAGTATTTCATGCCTAGATTAAAATAAAGCTCTATAGGGGGGTGAGTGCCTCCTATGGCTAGGTGCGACCATAGGAACCTCCTTGGCTTGGGCCATGGGGTATGGTGCTAGCATGATATGGGGATCTAGACCTTGGCACAGTTTGTTGGCTAGATACTTAGTGGGATTGGATGCGTGACTTTGGTGCGGGACTATGCGGTGTGTAGGCTATGGTGTCGTAGCACGCATAGGTTCCTTAGTGCTTAGCTCACAGCTACGACTTGTGTGTGAAACGACACTATCTTAATAGTACTTGCTATGGTGCTTGTACTAAATCATATGGTTAGCTGTTGTCCGTTGGACATTGCGCTATGGTGCGCGCTTGTGCGAGGTGTCGCTTGGGGCTTGGCTGTGGTGCGTGGCTTGTGAAACGAAGCGACGCTTGGGGAAGCGTTGCGATTCTTGGGCGAGGAAATGTGCGACCAGCAAAGGGACACGACGCTTACCAAGCGACGTGATGCTTACGAAGCAGCACGTCAATTGGCAAAGCGAAGCGTTGCTTGCGATACATCACGTTGGTTGCGAAGCGATGCGTTGCTTGGGGAGCAACGCAATGGTTGGCGAAGTGGT